TAAACGAAAAACAATAATATTATATATTTTATACGTAATACACCTACATAAAAAAAATAGGTATTATAAGATTTCAATTTTGAGCTCGTCGAAAAATCGTTTTTAGATCAAGAGGATCGAGGTACACGAATATTTCAACAGCAGTTTTTCGCATTCAAAATTCAAATTATTATAGTTTAGGTACCGATACGAAAGTGTGTAACGCTTAACCGTGCGGTGATCATTTACTCGTTTGGATAAAGACCTACCTACCATCTATAATATACCTATATACAAAGTTTTCGATTTTAATTTCGGAAGGACCTACGGCGTGGAAATCTCGTTTTAAAGCACCCAAGTATCGAATAACCCAGAAACCGTGTTGATTTAACGATATATGTTTAAGTGAGTCGACGATTTGCGCTCTTGGAAAGTTAGGTAAAAAAAAAAAATGATTTGTTGTATTTGGTCTTTAGCTAGTTTAAAAAAAAAAACCGAAAATATTATTTTAAAAGTTTGCTCGTTTTTGCTATTACTTAGTATTCACTACATCATTCAGTATATAATATTTCTATAAAGTGCTAATAATAGTATTCGGTAAAAGTTTCAGGTCTCTATGATTTATTTAACTGAATACAATAAAAAAACATAATTGAAAATAACAGATGCTATTATTGCATAAATTTGATTGTTTTTTTCCGAGATTTTTTAAAATTATTGAAAAACTACAAGGAGAAGTAAAAAATTACCCCCCCCTCCATGCACCAACTAAATAAAATTGCTTACAATAAACTACCCATAAAATTGACAATAGAGCAAGATTTCTAGTAAAAAATTATTCACAGACAGAAAAATATACAAAAAGCACAAATTCAATTATAAATTATTAGAATCTAAAATAGAATACAATTTTATGGAACTCGTGAATTTATAACAAGACGAGAAGACGGTGTATAATTCAATCACATTATTTATTTAAGTATACAATTATGCGGTGGAACAAAACTAAAAAAATAATAAAAATCATTATTTTCACTTGTTATACTTATTCTTTTGGATGTTTTAAATAAGCATTGAACCTTAAATTTTCCAAGTTTTTGAATAAATGAAAAATAATTTCAATCTTAATGACTTTGCCAGTAACAACAGTTATAAACGAACGATTTTCTCATCTTTTAAAAGAGTAAAAATTATTTAAGGTTAACCGAGAGCTGATAGGTTAAGCGACCTTTTGGTTATTCATGTAGAAAACGCCAAAGCTTCTAAAATAAATTAAAGGTAAAGCTGTTGATAAACTTGCAAATTTAAAACAACGCGCGTTATCCCTTAATAAATTAATCAAATGATAATATATAGTATGTATAATATTAAATAAAGTAAATAAATGTATAAATAAAAAATGTATATGTTTAAAATTAATTAATTAATCAATGCGTCACCTAGAGTATTATGATAAATGTATTGCATGACCGAGTTCTAAAAAATTAAAAAATTCACCATCAGGTATATCACAGTCAAAAGGTAACAAGCGACTGTTATACGTATCTATTCATGATAATCGCATTTTTTTAATTTTGTTATTGAAAAATAAATAATTTACCTATAGTTATACCTATATTATAATTTATAATGTTAATTTTAGATTCTGAAAGAAGCAAAGAGGCTTATGGTTTTACAATAATGTTTATTTTTTTTTTCTGCGGACAACTTTTCTACTAGAAGACTTGCTCCGATTTTTAGGTGTCTTTTGATGGTGAGAATATAAATGGAAAGAAAATAGTGACGGGTGGTTAGAATAAAGTGTCAACAAGTCCGTGACAAGATTTGAAATTTTACGAATGAGTAAGACAAAGATTAATTTTAAAAGATAGTCGAGCCAATAAGGAAAGGTATTCTATATTTCTAGAAAGGAGGTTGAACACAAATTTTAGGTTAGTAAAGGTCATGTGGTTAGTAGGGCCGATTAGTTAAAATAAATCACGAAGGATAGATGAATAATCATGAAGGAATGTGGGGAGTTGTTGCAAATCTATCTGCAATACACAACGTTGTTATTAAAATCATATGCAATGTTTTACTTAAACGCGGACCTAGTAAAATTTATCGTCTCGAAAAAAAATGAAGAAGAAAATAATACATATTTTGAACAAATAATGCAGAAGTGAGGGAAGTATTGAATAGGCCAGATATAATATTGCAGTTCTCAAAAACCTAAGAATAAACTAGTTTGGACACGTTTAATGGGCTGAGGGTCAACAATTGTATAATACGTGGAAACGGGCGAGAAAATGTCAAAAGAATGACCAATATAATGGTGCGACGACCAAGTTAGGGATAACCTCAAAAATACCTACTGAATAAGAGGAAAATCTATTGGTCATGAACAAGGGTGCGAGGAGTGGCGCGGTGGGAGCGGCGATAGGCTTACGAGGCCGGGATTAAGCTAACAAAAATAAAAAAAACATGGCGGATCCTTTAAACATTAATGACTAGGTATTATATTTTAATGTCGTTATTAAGTCGACCCGCTTAATCTGTCGTTATCAGTACAACAATAATATGGTTCCCGTATAGTCTGAACTATATACAGTGAGTTCAACTAGCGTTTCGCGGTTTTAATCATTTGTAAAGCTCAGTCGACAGATTTACAAAACGACTGCAGGTATACAAGTGTATAGGTACACGGAACAATTATTATTGATTTATTACTGTAGTCATTATTTAAAGTCCTTCAGGCGTCCGGGTGAGCAGAATAATAATAATAACGTGTCTCGCGGGCCGGGCATTAAGAAAACTCCGATTTGACCTGCCGACGTTAACTGTGCGTATCCACCCAGTCGACGGATTTAAGTGTTAATCGGCAATCGCGTAAAAGAGGCGCCTCGACCTTTCGTTAAATAATAAATCACGATGCACCTCTTCACATAAGCTGGGGATAACGAATGTACGCACATTGCTTTTGCTCGTAAAACAAAAACAAAAAAAAAATCCCGTGACCAATAGAGTTCTGTCTCTAAAATATAATTTTCACCCAATTGACTTGCGCCATTACAATAATTAATTTATTATTATTATTTTTTTAGACTTAGGGTGTAGCGGAGGTTTTTTTGAGTTTACTATGAAATGTGTTTGTTTTGTATTTGAACAGATTTCCTACCAGAAAACCTTTTCCAAGCAAAAAGTAAAAAGATAATTTTTTTAGTACATTGAGAAAGTAATTTTTTGATTTTCCAAGAGGTTTTCATAATAATTTAGAAAAACCGGAGTTACTTTAAAGAGATGATTTTAGAATTTTTTTAAGGGTTTTCTCATCAAATGTGAAAAACCAGGATAAAACACGGGAAAATCGGTGCAACATTAAGCATATTTTTATTAAAGAGGTAAAAATATTTTTGAAAAACATCACTATCAACTGAACTCCGTTCAGAATTGTTTTTTCCTAAGTAACGGTTTAAAGTTGCTTACAGGTATACAATAAATAATCTATAGCAGTGAATGCATCCGTCCTTATTATCCTAGGACGTCTTTTTTTATAATTGATCTAGTTTAGTAATTTATAATTAAAATTTAATTTGTTTTTTTACTTCCAACGTCACACCTACAGCAATGGCCTACCCTCCGTCAGAATTACATCAGTTTTATTTTTTACATTAAAATAAAAAATTTTGAATTCAGGGTTTTTTAGTATCATAGAACATTATATAATAGGCTAATTACCATAAAAGTCAAAGCCTTTATTCTCAATAAAAAAAAAAAAGAACATTATATTCATTTTACATAAATATGGAACAGTATGGAATTTTTCGCGTGTAGTTAAAACGTGTTTGTTTCTACAGTGGCGTATTAATAATTTATTATAATAATTTGTAAATTGAACAATGAACAGTGTACATCACACTGCAGCACACGAGGTTTAGTATAAACTATAACGATGATTTATTGTGGAGGTTTTCATCATTTGTGTCAAAGGTAGTAGCATAGTTCGAGTGGATTGTGGACAATTCACGTTACAGAATATTACCCGACAAAATTCACCACGAGGACATTTTTTTTTATTTTAACAATAAAATAATGTACAAATAAATATCGATGTTTTGATGAAACGGTTATTGTACAAAAAAATATACTCGTCATATACAAAATAAATATACAAACAATATAAAAGTATAATAATACTTGTAAATTATAATTATAAAATTAATTCGAAATTCTTAAAACTAAGCATTCATTTCGAAATTGTGGGTTTATTAGTTAAATAGTTAACTTTTAAATAGTTTTAGATTATTCTGTTTTGTATAATCTTTGCAAATGTTGTTCAGTCACTCTATAAAGTCTCTGTATATTTTATTTTGGTTTCCACAGAATGACCCACTGTATGTTGTTTAATTTTGAATTTTATTCACACTTTCTTCTTTTTTAAATACCTCAATACATTTCCAAATACTGGGATGAACTATATTTGATGTGGATGAAAATCCATTATGCGAACCTTCAACAGAAATTTTTTCATGGAATATTTTCTTCGAGATATGAATAACAATTTCTTAAGATTATTGGAAATAACGCTGGCTTTCTTCAATTTCAATGATCTACTCGTCCAATACCAGTATTTCAACATAGTTTATAATAGGCGCTTTTCATTATTTGTGTAGTCTAAGGAACCATTAAATCATCAAAAGCTTGCTAAATGTCATTAATAGGTACTATTCTAAGAACGCTAATCATTCGGAGTAGTATAGCCAATTCAGAATCATGTATAAACCGTTTAGGAACCCGGAAAATTTAACTTATCTCCATAAAGATTGATTAAAATGACAACCTCGAATTAAGTTTGTGGAGAGTGCATAAAAATAACATTCATTGCAGTTTTTCAAAAATTAACTATAGTTGTTTTGATTAAAGTCTGAATTTACTACGTAATTACAATGTATCCAATAAACGGAAATCAGTAATTTCCAATTTATTAGGCTGCAGTAGTGCAATAATCCATATGTTTATCGATTTTTTCATATAGGTTCTCGATTGAAACCAAAGTTGGTATTGCCACAGGATACTCTTTAAATGTAGTGAAAAATCTAATTTATCGAAAATATCGGCTTTAACTACCACTTTAAAATTAGAATTTGAATACATGCACAATTTAATCATACGAATGGAGTGAACATACTTAATGAATCACCCTGTATATATGTTGCATCCAAATTGCGTTATTGTTCGTTTCACGAAATAGACAACGTTTGCATCCATTTCACAAACTGCGTTTTTATTCACTTCTCGTAATTGCACAATATGTATATGGATCCCTAAACTTTACTACTACTCCGTCATTTGAATGTCCATAATGCAAAATAAAAGAGACGTTCTAGGATAATGAGTACATGTATAGCCACTGTTATAGGTAATTTAATATATACTTGTAAGCAACAATAAATCATTGTTTTAAAAAAAACCGATTCTGAGTGTAGTTCAGTTGATAGTAATGCTTTTTAAACAATATAATATATGCCATATTATAGTAAAATAATTAAATAGGCTCTATGTATTTTCTTAAATAAATTTCTGGTAGAAAAGTTGTTCAAAGGATAAAAGAACTCAGTAATATTTATATACTTATATCTACATTTTGTAAATGTTCCGCTTTCTTCCCATTTATTGAGAAAAATCCTGAGCAAATCAAAAAAGTGATTTCTCGTAGAAAAGTTTCACACAACAAATCAAGGGGTATTTTTCGATGAAATAAGTCTGAGTGAGCGATAGCTAGGTCTCTAGATACACCTAAACATATTTTTTTTCTCTGATAAAAGGGAAAAAAATGTAAAAACTATTTACTTTAACCATTTGATAAACAAACTTTTATGGAGACAATATAGAGTTTTTAACATAATATATGCGGATATTATAATCCACATAATATAAGAACTACAAAAAACTATAATTTCGAAACTTAGTAAGTCTGACTTCACCACCGTTCTTAAACCAGCAATATACATATGTTTAAAAGAAAAAAAAATTTAAAAATGAGATTTGTTCCACATATTTTTTAACTCGAACAATTTTCGACAAAATTTGATATCAAAATTAAGTTATAAAAAAAAATTAGTTCCCTATTTTCTTACGTTTTATCCTGATTTTTGCTAGATAATGATAACCACTTGGAAAATAAAAAAATTCCATCCTAAAAGTACTATATGTACAACATTTCCTCTCAGAAATGGTGCCACGCTTATATATCTGAGCAATATTTCTGATTGAATTGTTGTACACAGTATATATAAAAAAAAAATTTAAACATCTTTGTAAAACCATAAGTCAGTAAAAACGTATGTATTTAGAACTCTTAACTACTTACCTATGTCCTATTATATATAATATAAATCATTTTTACAGTTTATAAAGCTTCAGTAAGACATACACAATCCATATTACTTATGTAATATAATTATTATCTATGCTTAATTGATTTTATTTGTGTATTTTTTTATACAAGTAAGCATAGTAATTTAATAGGTACAATTGAGTTAACGATTATCGGGAAGATACATAATCAGTTAAAACATATTTCATTTATTCTTCACGGTTTTAATTTTTCATTTACTAATAAAATAGTATAAATTAGAAAATAGAAATTGCTTAGTAGTATTTTAATGTATAAGTTGGTTTTATAGAAGGTGTGGGGGTGACATTAATTTTATGAGAAAATGGGTAAATTCAATTATATTTTAGAATATTGGGTAGTTAGAATAGTTTTACTTTTATGCTGTCAGGTATAGTTATATTTAAAAATTTTCTTTTTTAATAGGCCGTTTTTAATTTCATTTACATTATTTTGGTAGACAGTAAATTTATCTGTTCATTTTATATTTTCGAAAGCTGTTTTGCGTCTAAAGAACCAGAAAATTTTTTATCAATGACATTTAATAGTTTTTAAATTTCTTACTTTGATACTTTTATCAGCCACGAAACTGAGTTTTGAGCAATACATGGTTCTTTAACTCATAAAATATATACTTTTAAATAAAATAACTAGCACTTTCACATTCATTAGATTATTAAAATTCAAAGATCAATAAAATCTGGGAATTTTTTACACTAATTAAGAACAATCTGTAAATTATAATATTTAACAATTTAAGAACGTATTTTGGTTAATTATGGTAATGACTAATCACTGTCTGGACAAGTATGAGAAAGATTCGGAAAAATTAAGAGTGAGAGGTTAGACAAGGCGATAGCTTTGGTAAGAGATAAATGGAAAGAAGTGTGTAGTTGAAAGCTGAAAGAAAAAGAATAACAAACATTATGATGCTTTATTTAAAACCATAATTTCGTGAAATACACTACAATAGTTTATACGTGCAGATATTTATGCCAAATATTTAAAAACCAAATAATTATAAACGCATTCTCGTGACGGGAGGGGAGCAGATTTAAAATGCTGGACAATAGTATGTCCAGCATAAGTGTTGGTAGTTGGGAATACAACCAATTCATAGTTTAATTATATCAAAATTCACATGTTAAGTCGTTGCAAAACTATTCTAAGTGGATCTCAGTTGACTAGTATTACTTTTTAAAATAAAACTGATGCGTTATTATTTTGTTGTCGGTAATCTAGAAAAATGTTTTGAGTAAACTCGAGTAACTTCATCATACAAAAATTTCTCATATTTAACGGTACTGCGTGAAAAAGTCTGATCATTTTTACTAACCAGAAAAGTATTTTTCGAGAAAAACAAAAACAATTGGGTAAAACTATTATTCACTCGAATCTAAAATAATAACTACTAGATGAATTATACTATATCATTTAATATATATATTTTAAGATCGCCAATATTGTGTTTTTAGGTTCAGTGGGGTTATACGTACTGTGTTTATATTTTAAAGAAAAAATTATAAATTAAAACAAGGAATATGAAAGAACAATACATAATCCCCTTTTCCCTTAAAACCTGTATGATATATTTTTTTACTACGTTATACAGTCTGATATTTTGTACTACATTTTGTATATAATCGAAATTACTTTTTTATTCATTCATTCGTTCTTTAATAAAAAAAAAAAAAAATTCTTATTAAACAAATATATAATATACTAGCTTTACTTACCTGATATTAATATACAACACTAATTTTTCCGGGATAGGTTTTGCTTTGTTAATTTTATAATAATACTGGTTGTCCTGCGCACGGCGTGGCGTTGTCTTGCCAATTTGTATAATTATTATTTTACCCATATTAATTTTTGGTTTTGGCCGTATCAGAAATGAATGAAAACAAATAGGTGATAAATGGGTAGTCAACTATCGGTGGACTAAATATATTCTATTGTGAAATTTTAATAGTGCAAATAATAGTAATAATAATAATAATAATTATTATTATTGCAGTTTTCATAAAACCTGTCCGTTTTTCATTTCGTATACTATCGAAGCTCACCACGGTTTTGTATGGTTTGTTATTTGACTATAATAGTGGAGTAGTAACACCAGAAGTGAATTTTCCTCCGACTATTTTGTAGTATGTTCTTTGTAAAATAATAAACAACTAAATACTACAATAATTACAACACTGTGTACTACTGTACTAATCTATATTACTGTACTACTGAACTGAAATATTCGATTTCCAAAAAAAAAGTGACTATAATGATAGTACGTATTGGGTTGAACCCCCTAAAGGCATATCCTTGATACTAACACATTACATAATAAACAATATTGCACTCATCTGGTTTTATTTCGAGAGTCCGTAAGACGTTCAAAGCTAAAAAAAACACCCTCATCCCATAAAAACACAGTAGAGTTTGTATTGAAATTCAACTCGTGGTTTATCACTACAATTCGCTTATAACTAAAATAAATCTAATCTCCGAGTTACAGCTGATTTCGTTCACAGGAAGGCTCTTAAAGCGTCCAAAAATAGCTGCAAAAAGATAATATATAATGTTATACAAAAAAATTATAATATATTTTTATTTTAAAAGAATTAAAAAAAAAAAAAAATCAAAAAACTTATATTGGCTTTTATTTCAACTAATTTTAAACATTTAAATTTCGGAAGTTTTTGACATAGGTTATATTTGACAAGTACTATGAGCGCGTGGCCTATAGGACAACCACACGATTACGTGACACGGTAGGTAATTAACAAAAAAGTTAGCTTTTACTTTTAACTAAAATTGAGTTATTATTTTCGAAATTATCAAATTAATTTGTATTTTATCAAAATAATTTTTATTTTAAAATTAACATTTACTCTAAATAGTTGTTATTAATTTATTTTTAAGGTAACTTAAAATTAACTAGTATAAAATAATAGATAACTTGCCCTGGCTTTGAATTTCAAATAATACATTATATGTACCGCTATAAAGGTTCTCGATAAATCGCATTCCTGCCGCGTGTATATATTTGCATATTATAGTTTTCGACTGAAATGCGTACACTGCACGTAAAGGTTTAGTGCGAGATTGACCTTTATACCTACGAAGATATATTATATTTCATTTTTCTCTTGCCCACCTCCATACCACTCACTGGAAATTTTATTATTCGCGCCGTCGTCGTCGTCGTATTTGTCAAAGTAAAACATCGCGTACTATTTATATTCGAAACGTTCCGCGCGGGCAAAAAACAGTTCGTATAAATATTCGTTCCGCGAGCAACACACGGACACATACACACACACACACACACACACGCTCGCACTAGGTACACTCAGAAAAGATCGGTTGTCTACAAGACACTTTTTTATTTGCTTATAGCATACAGTCTGCGGTGGCGGTCAGGAGACGAAAAAAAAAATCTGTCCTAGGATAATGGGGTCGGGTGCAGCCACTGTTGTAGGTGAGAAGTAGGAAAAGTAAGATAAAGTAGGAAATTTAATATAAATCTGTAAGCAACGATAAACCATTGCTAACGAAAAAACGATTCTGAGCGGAGGTCAGTTGATAATGATGCTCTAAAAACAATATTAAAGGTCATATTATAGTAACATATTTAAGTAGGCATTACATATTCTCTTTAATAATATTTGATTACTATTGATGGGATTTTCCCGTTATTCTTAACAATACCATTTATTTTTCATTTTTCCTATATATTATAAAATAAAAATGATTCAATTATTCCAGATTTGAAAACAACACTTTAAATAGTACATATTTAATAATGCAGTAAAAAATGGCATTGGAATTAATTTTAGTTAGTAAAGTTATTAT